CCTAGTGGAAGACCTTAAATCTCTTTGAGGAAAGATGTGAGAAAGATTAACAGCACAAACTTTAGTGCCCCAGGGTCTTTCCTAATGAGAAACAGTTTTCATTTAAGGGGTTCTGGGTCTGTAAACTGGCTTAGATCTGGGAACTGGTTGAGAGCCTGTCTTTATTACTGCATTTGGAAGAAGATTTGTGGTCATTTACGCCTAAGTTTTTATGATTCTATAAACCCAGTAAAAATTTCCTAGACTTCTTATCTATTCCACTGTGGGGAATATCATGGTTATTCAGGCAAAGTCATACATCTACACATGTCAGACAATTCCTATCATTGCTCTGCTTCTGTTGTCCATTACGCTAACTATACTTATCTTGTCTCTGGCAGTGGAGTATTGCTATTTGACACCTACCACTCTAGGACTCAATGAAACCCATTGTCATTACAATGCAGAGATAGGGCTCTCCAGGGACCCTTGTGCTTCCCTCACAAATCTTTTGTTAAGGTACTAGTGAAAGGTATAACTTTCAAGTCAATGACAAAACTGGCACTCCTCCAAAGATGGAGAAGCAAGATTCCATCTTCTTTTCTTTTTTATTCCTCTGAGGTTTTACATCTACTGGATAGTCTCACCTGCAGTCAGGATGTATTTTTCCTCTTCAGTAAGCCAATTATCCAGACACACTGAGAGTTGTGCTAAATGCCAGGCATTTATTATTCAAGTGTACACCACGACTAAGTAGCACAGACCAAATAAACCTAACAGACTTACACAGAATGTACCACCTAAAAACATCACAAGTGGTTGTATTCTTCTAAAGAACCTGCAGAACTTTGTCCAGGGTATATCATACAATAAGTTACAAAATAAGTCTTACTAAGCTTAAGACTAATGAATATTCACTATGAGTTTTGATAATAATGTTATGAAACAAATAAGGAAAATTTTGGTACATTCACAAATACATAAAATTGAAACGTATACTTTAACAGTTCAGAGATCTAAAGAGAAATTAAAACATAGCAGAAAGAAGTAATAATAAGCAAAGTAGAAATAAGTAAAATAGATGAAAAACAAAAAAACATCATAGCTAAAATCTAAGTGTCCAAAAAAAGATAAGTTTTGATATATCATACCACTTGATCTCTACATAAACTTCAAAGATATAATAACCAAATGCACAAAACACCCATACCAACAGAATAGCATACAGATTTCAGAGAGAAATTCACACATGTACAGTCAACTGATTTTTGACAAAGGCACCAACAACAAACACCAAAAAAGAAATAAAATATGGTGCTAGGAATATTAGGTATCCACATGAGAAGAAGGAAATCACACTCTTGTTTAACACCGTGTAAACATCTCCTCAAAAACAGAGATATAAACATAAAACCTGAAGCTACCAAAGGAAAACAGGAAAAAGCTCCATGACATTGCTCTGCAAAATAAATTTTTAGTGTGGTCACAAATTCACAGACAACAGAAGCAAAAGTAGACAAATGGAATTAAATCAAAATTAAAAATTAAAAACACAATACAAGAAAAAGAAACAAGAGAGTAGAAGCATATCTCATAAAATAGGAAAAAAACCACTTGCAAACCATGTATCTGATAAGGTTAAAATATCTGAACTAAATAATTCTCACAACCCTTTAACAATAAAAAAAATGTATTTAACAATGAGCAGAGATCTGAAAAAGATATTTGTACTGGTTAGGTAATCTAAAAGATAGTATATGTTTCCTTATTATATATGCATAATTATGCAAAGGAATTTATTAGGTAGTCTTACAGTATCAGAAGTTGAGCAGTGCCTATATGAGAGTTGGAAAGCCAGGGCATTGAATAGTTGATCAGTTCAAGAAATTAGCAGTCACAGAACAAGGATTATCAAGGATATAACACCAGTCCAAGACCAAAGTTTAGGGCGCTCTCTGGCTTATATGAGATCATATTGGAAGACTAAGTAAGTTGGAGTCTAATGTCTTTGTGCCACAGTAGAAAACGATGAAATGTTTCAAGCACAGTGGGGCCATTTAAAATATATGCTAACTTTCTTTTTTCCTGGTTTTCCATTCAAGTTGCAAGCTTATTGGATAGTGCCATTCATGGACGGAGTACAGATTCCCCTCCTCAGTTTGCTGAACTGTATGCAAATAGTCAACTGAAATACATCAGAGATGCACCCAGAACTGTGCTTTACTAGTTTTCTAGGCAGTTTCTAATCTAGTTAAGATGATATAAGCAATATCAGCGACATCATTTTTTCATATACAATGTACAAATGACCATAAGAATAAAAACAAATACAGAATTTTACTTATCATCAAGGAAATGAAAATGAAAATTACAATGCAGTGTTATTTTACATGTCCTAGAATGGTTTATTATCAAAAAGAAAGTTGGAGACATTGGGCTGGGGATTTAGCTCAGTGGCATAAGTGCTTGCTTTGCAAGCAGGCAGTTGTAAGTTTGATCCCCGGTACCGATAAAAAGGAAAAAGACCAAAAAAAAAAAAAAAAAAAAAAAGAAAGTAGGAGACATCAAAGATTGATGAGGACATAGAGAAAAGAAACTCTTGCAAACTGTTGATGTGACTGTAAATTAGTATAGCTTTATGGAAAATTATATGAATTCTCTACACATTTACCAATTAAACCACCACGATCTAATAATTCCACTACTGGGTACATATCCAAAGAAAATGAAATTAATATCTAGGAAAAGTGTATTCTCATAATTACCAGCATTATGAGCAATAGTCAAGTATGGAATCAACCTATATGCCTATAAATGGATAAATTGCTAAAGAATATATGGAATGTAATATATAATGTACTGTCATTCTACCAAAAAATGGTGAAAGTTTTTTTTTTTTTTTTTTTCATTTGTGACAACATGAATCAACTTGGAGGATACTATTTCCAATGAAACAATCCAAGAACATAAAATCAAACATTCTATCACCTTAACACTTCATTTTACAGAATGCCATAAAGTCAGTCTCACGGAAATAGAGAACAGATCAATGATGGCAAGAAACTGTAGTAGTTGTAAGCAAAAGAGCGAGATATCTCTCACATGTAATACTTCAGTTATATAGGAAATTATAATTGAAAAGTTTTATTTTAGAACATTACAATTATTGTTAATAATAAATTGTGTTCTTAAAAAATGTTAAGAAGGTTGATGTAAAGCATTTTATCACAAAAATGGTAACTAGAGTGGCAATACTTCTGTTTATTCACCAGACCTTCTCAAAGGGGTAAAATATTTGGACACTAAAAGCTATACCAGTGATGAAAATTGAAGATACAATGAATGGATAATCTCAAATTCTGAGATCAGAAGAGTTAATATTATTAAAATATATGTTGTGGTATATATCTAAAATGTCCCCCAAAACTGGTCATAACTGGGGCCTTTGGGAGGTAAGAGAGTGGGTTATGAGGGTGTTATAATAATGAGTGGATTAACCCACTGATGACTTCATAGCTAAACATCGTATTGAGAAGTGAGGTCTGGTAGGAGGAGAGGACCACTGAGGGCTTGATTTGGAAAGGTCTTTCTCTCTCTTTCCTCCCTTGAACGCTCTACTTCCAACCACTATGAAATGAGTAACTCTTTCCTACCATGACCTCTGTCTTACTTCCCCGCCTGGGAACCAGTGGACTAAGAACTGAAACCAAACCTCTACCAACTGTGAGTTAAAATAAACCTTTCCTCTTTGAAGTTGTAGATGTCAGCTGTTGTGTCTCTGCAAAAAGGAAGGAAAAAAATACTGTTTATATTATGCATAATGATTCAAAGAATTAATGCTGTTCTTACCTATAATCAATGGTAATTTTGATGTAAACAGGTAATAAATCTAAAATTATTATGGTTCTTCAAAGCACCTAAAATAGCAAAGCAATCTTGACAAAGAACAACACATGAAGCTTAATACTTTCTAATTCCAAAGCATATAAGTAAGTTATAGTGATCAGAACAGTTTGGTTCTGGCATAAAATATTAAACACATAGATCAATGGAATAAGATAAAAGCTGAGAAATAAAAACACAATAAGTCAATTAATCTTTAAAAAGAACACTGACAGTAGACAGTGAGAAAAGTCACTGCTTTCAAAATTTGTACACAAAAGAATGAAGTTGGGTGTATCTCACACAGTTCAGAAAAGTGAACTAACAATAGATCAAACATTTAAATGTAATAAAAGAAATAACAATAGTTCTTAAATAAACAAGTAGAAAAGCATTGATGTTTTCCCAAGTATAGATATTTATCACGATCTCAAAATAATAAGCAATGATTACAAACACCAAGAAATGTGATTACATGAAAAAAGTTTGTATATAAAATAAAAAAATTCAAAGGCTAAAGAGCCAACTGATGAAATGGGAGAACGTATTTGCAAACTACACATCTAATGAAGGATTAATATGCAAAATATACAAGGAACTCAATACAGAAAAAGGAAAAAAAACAATTAAAACATGAATAAATGGCCTGAACAACACTTGTCAAAAGAAGACATACAAATAGAGAGTGAGTATATAAAAACAATATGTATGTCTAATCAGCAAGAAATTGGCACTTATGAGTTCCTAGAAAACGATAGCACATTATGCAACTACAATTCAACCTGAGATTCAGAATCCAGACAGTGGAAATAGCAGTTCTGGGAAGGAAATGGAAAAGAGAAGCAGATCCTCAGGATCCAGGAGATACATGACAGAAAAACTAAACTCTAGAGAGAAATTAAAGAGACAGAACATGATGAAGAAAAGGACAGGGAAATCTGCATTGTCTCTGGATCCCAAATCATGGCTGGGAAAGGGAGCCAAACTTACAGAGACAGAGGGAATCCTGAATACCACAGAGGATATCAGGGAAAGACAGCAGTTGAAAGGGCCAGGGAAAATGCTGGCTCCTTCTCTCCCAGGACTAATTCTTGACAGACAACAACAGCTCGTGAGTTATTTCAGTCCAAGGGACTCACCAGAGAGCACATGATCCCACAGCATTCCATGGAAGGGTTGTTTTTACCCAAGACTCAGAGTAGTCGCAGGGCAGCTTCAATTCAGCACTCCCACTGTTATATTCCAATTACTGCCTGTGTGCGAGATTAACCACAATGGGCAGCCATGCTCAGGAAGCCACAGTCAGGCTGGAAAGAGACTCCCTGCGAGGTGTAAGCCAAGAGCATTCCGGAGGCCAGGTGGCAGTCTCAGCTGACTGGCTCTGGATTTGAACGGAGTAACATCGATACCCTTGCTCTAATCCCACTCCCTGCCTTTGGCTCCATCCAGGGTGGAGCTGGAGTCTGACAGCTTTCTTTATCTGCCCCCAAACTGTGGACTCTGCAAGAAAACTCTTTGTTCAAAATCACAGAGAATTTTCATTTGTTTTCTATTTTTGTATTATTATTATTTTGTTGTTGTTGTTGTCTTTTTCTTTTTTATGGGTAGCAAGGATTGAACTCACAACCCCGCACTTGCATGACAGGTGCTTATGCCGCTGAGCTAAATCCCCAGCCCCCTGTTTTTGTATTATTTTTATATTTATATGGTTGTTGGTGTATACATTGTTCATGATTTTTTGTTTTGATTTTCTTCTTTCTTTCTGCTTTCCCAGTCCACTGGGTTTTGGGAATATCTCTTACCCTTTCCTTACTTCTGTTCTCTTTTTCTTACCTTTTTACTTTCTTATTTTTTCCTCTTTTCCTTCTTAATTTTGTCTCATTTTGCTGTCTATCTATCTGTCTATCTATCTATCTATCTATCTATCTATCTATCTATCTGTCTATCTAATTCCTGGTCTGTACTTTTATTAGCTTTACCTAATTATATAAATATCTTTCTACACCCCAAATAATTCTTTAAGCCACTTCTTCCTTCTCCTGCTCATGTCCCATAGTTTAAAGTTTCAGATTTTTCCTCTTGCATGTCCCCATTCCCAAAACATTGTATCTCTAATGCTATAATCATAACACTTTGTTACTGTTTTGATAGCTACTTAACTCTATAAATTTATTGTTGATTTTTTCTACCATTAGGGGAGACAGAGCTGTTACATTTGGCACATATTAGCTTTAAATCAATTCCTGAGTTGTTTTAATGTTCACATCATAATTGTGGATTTTTTTCCTTTGGCTTTAAAGATAGTACATGATTGCACCTTATGGTATGATACTGGATCGTCTTCATAGTGGTACTATAGTAGTATAGTATACTACTACAGTAATATAGGTATCTATCTTGTACACACACACACATTTATATATTTATGTATACATATATTTATATAAATATAAAATATTTTCCTTTCGGGGCTGGGGATTTAGCTCAGTGGCATAAGCACCTGCCTTGCAAGCAGGCAGTCATGGGTTCGATCCCTGGTTCTGACAAAAAGGAAAAAGACAAAAAAATTTTTTTCCTTTCTTTCTTTTCCCCTTTCCCCTATCCCTTGTTCTTTCCTTTTGAGCACTTTCTTTCCCTTTCATTTTCACAGAATCTATTGTACATTTTGGAACTTATTTGCACTTTGCTTTTTTTTTTTTTTCTCAATGATGTTTAAACATAGGGCCTTTTTACTAAACCACATCATCAACCCTGTTAAAAACTGTTTATGCTGAGCAAAGGCAGCACTACATCTCCAAGTGGACAGTTAGGGCTGCAATTTATGAACCTCCTCCCTTTTGCCTCAGCTTCCCTGAGTACTGGGGTTGTGTGGGTACAGCGTCCCATCCAGATTGCTTATTCCATTTTCAGGTGTATAAATTGAGGTTTAGAAAGGTTAATTGCTTCAGATAATGGAGGTTTTTATGGCAGATCTTTTACTTAAACCTAGGCAATCTTATGCCAGACAGCAGTTATATCTTCACAGGAAAATAATAGTAGTAACATTGCCACAGCAAAGTGACAGTCATATCTTGAAATGAATACTGCTTTGCATGTTCTCATTAATTTTCAGATACAGTATGCTTATTTAGTGGAATCAGTATTTATTATTAAGAATGTTTATTTCATCTTGTGTAGCAAGGAAATATTTAATGTTTATAAATGAAAGCAGAATTTAAAATGAAAAAAGAATTGTCCTTGAGAGCTCAGATTTTGAATTCTGGAGAAGCATACAAATGCAAAATTAAATTATAAGAATAATTAAGGCTGAAATATTGTAGTGAATTTTGAGTGAAATTAGTGCTCTCTTGGCTAACTTGAAAATATGTGATGAGAATAGTGATAGTGCAGTAAAAGCACAGCTGTCAAATTGGACCAGATAGCCCAAAGTAATGTCAAAGGCTATCTTAATTAAAGGGAGTGTCTTGGGTTTCATCACTGTTGAGATGACAACTGGGTCCTATTTATCCAAGGTTATAATAATTGAGCCATAGAAAATCAGAGTTGATTTAAATGAAATGCATGTCAGATTCCTGATTGCACAGTTAACGTGAGCAGAAGATGTAACTGAATTGTAGCAGTTTTAAGAAGGAGAACCCAAAAACATCATAAACCCACTGCCATAAACATTCTGTTTGGATTTGCCGGTGATAAGACTTTTGTGAAGAAAAAAGTCTAAATATCTCTTAGTAGTATAAGTTATTTGTATGCTGCATTATATGTGTCTGCAGATATATATATATATATATATTTATATTATATATTTATATCTATATTTATTATATATATATATCAGACAAGTCTAGAGAAAAGTTGTACCACAAGGAAACTGGTTAATTGGTGGCAAACTTGCTGAAATTTGCATCAGTTTTGCTGTGATGAAAAGACTTTCTGAGATGGCTGGAATTGTAGAACCTAAATCAAGGAATGTGTGTAGTACATAAGTAACCTATGAATTGACTAGCTGATTAATTTCCTCATCCTAGTTTACAAGTTTGAAATTCTACTTTTTGAAAATCATGCATGCTATAGGAATTATTTATGCAACACCATATTATGGAATTTTAGAGGTTTTCTTTGCCTCTAAACATAGAAGCAACACTTCATTTTTATCATTTAAAAAACAGGAAAATATTTCAATACCATTTGTGATAGTGATGAGGAATGATGCCAATTAATGTTCTCTAATTGGAAGTGTCTAATAGAACGTTTGGCAATGATGCAAATGTTCTGTATCTGCACTAATACATTAGTCACTAGGCCCATATGGCTATTTGTGTAGCTGGAATATGGTTAGTGGGATTAAGAGACTAAAGTTTTAAAGCTATTTAATTGAAAGTAAGTTAAACATTAATTAAAAGCGTTGTGTACTTTTAATATCTCTGTATTGATCAGTGCAGATCTAAGACCTTAAAATAGGAAAAACTGGTTTTGTACGATGTGAGAAACTCCATTTTTAAAAATATGTAATGACCAGTAAAGTTGAAAGTCTAGAAACAATATTGCTAAGTGTAAACATATACTTTGAAAATTGTTTTATAACCACTAAACATAACTTTCTCACAAATTCTTCTTTAATATTTAGCTCAGTGCTTGATGCAGAGTAGGAACTGACAAGTATTCATTCAGTGAATGGCCAATAAAAAACAAATGAACATCCGAACATCAATTTAAATGAAACAAATCATCAAATTAGTTGACCAGCAATGTCCAATGATAATGCAGACTTAGAAGGACATATTTTTTCTTGATTGGGACTTTGGCTGGAACTGCATAAAACTCAAATTTGTCCGTGACTATTTCAACTAAATTGAATTTGGCTGCTTGTTTATTCTTTAGTAATGCTCCTCTCATCTCATATCTATTGCTCATTGCTTTGGACAGCGCACGACACTCATTTTCATTTAAGAGTATTTGTTGGATTGCTCTGTAATTGAGGCACTGTGTCAGAAATGCTGAATACTGGATAAGGCTTAAAACTCTGGACTATGATTATCACAAAGAAGAGGATCCTATCCAAATACTATGCAACTTTGGGCAAGAGACTTATCTTTATTATGTCTCGGTATTCATTTTGGTGGAAAGGCTTAATTACAGGAAATAATCAAATGATTATATTGAGGGGAAAATGACTTAATGGTTATAAAGAATGTAGAACGATCTCTAGTACGCAATGCACATAGCAGCCATGGTCTACTTTGCTGAATTCAGAAATAAGCAAAATAAGTAGGTTCTATGATTTGATAGAGCTTAATTTGACTGTCAGAGCACAAGAAGCCTATATTCAACCCTTATAATATTTTCAGTGGATCATTCTTATTTTTTGCATTTTTTGGTACTGGAAATCAAACTCAGGCCCTCATGCTGCTGAACTCTGACGTTGCTCTTTTTCTGATTTTTATCTTTTTTTTTTTTTTTTTTTTTTTTTTTTTTTTTTTTTTTTTTTGGTACAGAGAATAAACCTCAGGAATTTGCTCCTGCCAGGCAGGCACGCATGCCACTTAGTAACGTTACTGGCCCAGCTATGTCGCTGGCTCAAATTTATTTTGCATGTTGCTATTAAAAGACATTTTAGAAAGGTACTTTAAAGAGTAAGAACAAATGACAGTTAAAATTGTGCTATAAAATGCAATATTAATTAAACATTATAAACATCACTGTAGGAAGTAAAGTTTAACACACATCATTAGGAAACATGAATTATCATCTTACATCCTCTTAGCAGATCATGATAAGTCAAGTTCTAATATAAAAATATTGTGTAGTCAAGTTTCTAATCTACAAAACTAAAATCAATATGTTCCATTTTTGCATTAAAATAAAATAAATGCAATTTGAGACCATACTCATATGTGAAATAAATCAGACTTACATGTGTATACATCATATTTTATCCCTGGTATGGGAACTGAATGTGTAAATAAGGTCTAAAATGTACAATAGATCTTGTGTAATGGAAAGAAATTGTTTAAAAACAATGAGGAACTATGGTGGAGAGAGGAGGAAAGAAAGGAACCAAAAGGGAAAATAGTACAAGATAGTCATATAACTAGTTTCTCTTACTTCATTGAATAGAAGATTGTGCAAATATCATTTGAAGGAATTTTATACCATATTTGTACTCTGAGAAACTACATTGAAGCTAGCAATATGCAACGTATTAACTATTGTTATTCTCCTATTAGTTTATGAAATTTTGTTTTATTTTTTCCATAAAATAAAAAAAATATATAGTTTATTCATTAAATTGAGCTT